GGGGGGGGGTCCACGCAGCCTCTGGCCAGCTCCCTGGGGCCTGCAGAGCGAGGGGGTGACCCTGCGTCTCCCTCCCCCGGGTCGTTCCTGGCCTCAGAGTCACTGTGAGGCGTCGGGAGTCTGAGGTTGCGGGACCTCGGGGGCTGCATGTGGGCTCTGGACAGCCCTGCGCTTGGCGTGAGGGGTGTGGCCGTGGGTCTGAGCATCCGTCTGGGCCAGGAGGTGCAGAGGTCGAGTTTCCGGGACGCTTCCTGTTGCCCGGACACAGCGCTCTGCTCGGTGCTGTCCTGCGGGCCCGGCCGTGCCCATGGTTTTCTGGCTCCGATGCCAGCTCTGGGGGGTCAGGCAGGAGCTTGTGCAGAGCTCGAAAGGACTGACCGGCGCCATCCTGCTCCTCCGCCCGGGAGCGGCCTGTGGACAGGGAGGGCGGGGCCGAGCTGGCTTGTCTGCTGGTCTCCTTTTCCTCTTCACCTTGAGGGAGGGCAGCATCCTCCACCCCTGTCTCTGCCGCTCTCCAGGGCTCACTCCCCCCTCCCTGTCCCCCCGCCCCCCAGATTTCTGAAGGCAGCTTAGCTCTTCCCCAGGGGCAGCGGGGGGCAGGCTGGCAGCCTTCTCTGAGCTTCTCAAAACCCAGGTGGCTCCTGGGGTTTCCTGGCACCACTGGTGCTTGGGCTCCTGAGTGCCCGGGACCAGCAGCTCGAGGTCCTGGTGGTGACCGGAGGGCGCTGAGGGGTGGCCTCTGCACCCCCACGGCCAGCGGGCCTTTTCCTCAGGACGCGCAGCCTGAGAGCGTAGGATTCAGATGTGTTTATGGCGCGTGGAGCGTTTGCCGTCAGCACAGCCGGGCTCCCGGCCCTGCCCTGCAGGCCCAAGGGCGGCCGTGGACACAGGTCTCGCTCCTGAGAGGGGGCCAGGCCCTCAACGCCCGGAAGTCCGCTGCCTCCCTGGGTCCCCTCCCCGACCCTGAGTGCGGTCTCTGCCCGGAACCCGGGCCTGCCCTGCCTTTCTGACCTCTGCGCTCTCCCCCAGGCTGGCGTCTGCCTGGGCACCGCCCTGCGGTCCTGGTGGCTGCTGGTGATGGAGCAGCGGCCGCAGTCTACCATGGTAACCAGTGCCCCGGCCCTCCTGCCCCTGCCCCCCGCCCCTTGCTCTGCCTGTGGTCGGGTGGGACGGGCCTCAGCCTGCTGACAGGCGCTGTCTGCCCTCTCCCAGCTGACGGGGATGGCGATCGGAGCCCTCCTGGCCCTGGCCCTTGTGGGCATCGCCGTCCTTCTTGTGCGCAGGAGGCTTAACCGGCAACGTGAGTCCGTGGCTACCGACTCCGGCTCTGGGAGGGACGGGGAGGTCCGGTGACTTGCCCCGTGTTCCGAGCTCCTGGGAGCGGCCATCAGGCCCCTCCCCCACCCCCGCGGCTTTGGGTGGAGACCCCTGGCTGTGCAGGCAGCGCTGAGCCAGTGGGCCCCACAGGGTCTGCGTCTGTCCACACTTTCTCCAGTCCCGTCCAGGCCGCCTTCCGTCTCTGGGCCCCCTCGGTGGGTGTGTCAGCCTGAACGCTCGCTGCCCTTCCTCCCAGCACTGAGGGGGGCGGGGCTCAGGCGGCCACTCTGCTCCCTTGCAGGACAGGTGCAGCCCGCCCCCCAGTACCGGTTCCGGAAGAGAGACAAAGTGATGTTCTACGGCCGGAAGATCATGAGGAAGGTAGCCTGGCCGTGGCCCACACTCGGCCTTGACCCCGAGGCCTCGGCCCCTGCTAGCCTGGCC